GTACACGCAGCCTGCTGAAAAGCGCAGGTCACATGCACAGGCCTCAATGCCATATAAGGCCTTGCAAACCAACACCATCCCTAAAATGACTGCACCACAGGCAAAACAACCAAACACAGCTCCAACATGTGAAGACAAGGCCCCAAGGCAAACTGAAGAAACAGAAATGTAGCTATAGCTTTCGACCATTCCTTTCTCAGCACAAAATGTTTCTTGTGAAATACTTCCTATTAGAGCACAGAGAAGACTGCCCACCTTGACAAGGTGGAAAATCCCCCAAACCTCAACCAAAGACAACCTACCAAAAGAACAAGACAATGCTCATCGACTGCAGAACTACCAGCTCTGTGTTCAGATTCACCATGTGCTGCTGTGAAGTTACATACTGTGCCACAGCTCTGACACTGAGCTGGCCTGCCAGAGGCTGAATGGGTTGCAGGAAGCATCATCACACACTTGCCATGGCTCTATCCTCCCCCAGCCTATGCTCCCGGCCTCCGCTGTAGCCAAGACACTGGGCTAGGCAGACCTTTGTGCTCTGACCTGACACAGCGCGCAGCCCGGCAGCAGCTGTGACCATGCGACTGTCACACCGACCCAACCACCGGATACCCTCAGAGCTTTCAGCATGCAAACCCTTCAGTGCAACATGGCTCTCCCTCTCAAAGATTTTTAATAAGAAACCCAAACTTCTCTTCCATTCCTCTCCTGCCAGGCCACCCTGTCATCATAGGTAGTCAACTGAAAAGAATCCCAGGCTTTGAAAGCTGAGAATATTCTACACGAGACTGGAATATTATTCAGGTATATTGCAGGCTTTGAACCCCCCAAGACAATATAGACTGTAAGATGGTCCAATCCTGTTCCTTCTAGCGCTATCACTATATACTAACCTAAGTCTGCGATCCCCAACACGATACAAGACACTGGAAGAGTACCTGTTTAAAGCTGCAGAGGAGTATTTTTCATTAAATTGGCAAATCTCTGTGCTGATTACCAGGAAATAGCTGTTTTTCTATCTTAGCAACATTTTACTATCTCAAGAGTTTTAAGCAAGTCCAAGCTGAGGTCTCTCTTACACATAACCAAGCCCACCAATTAGAGAGAAAGTCCTTGCCTATCACACCAATGCAATTAAGTCCAAGAGCACCATCCGGTACCAGCAACGGGATATTGTTATTAAAATAAAACCACTTGTTGCAACAAGTATGTCTGCTGACCTAAAATTCAGACAAATCATCAGACTACTAGTTACTAGTTTGTCAAACTTCAAAAAGACTTTCAGGCTGGAGCATACCAATTTCATAACTAGTCAGAAGATGCTTTTCAATCAAGAGAATAGCTATGAAGTCACAGTAAAATGAAGCGGGCTAATAAAGTCTATTCCTTATAGTAAAGACAAGAAATCTAGCATGATGTAAACCAGTACTGTCCAAAGTTCACAGCTCAGAATTTGGAGGAGCTCTAGCGCAGCAAACAGTACAGCTACATATGATACATTCATTTTGCAACTGCATTAAGGTGCTTATTTTTAAGTAAACTATCTGTCCTTGCTACACATTCTTCTTGACCTACTTGCTATGAATAAACAGATTGGTAAAAGAGTCAGATCTGTGGAGGAGCTGCATAGCAAGGAAAATTAGAAAAAGGGCAGGACTACCATTAATACAGAGCAAATCCCACCTTTTCTCTAATCTAACAACATCTTATGTGAACATCTCTCTCTTGTCGTAGGAGAAACCACGATGAGGCCAACAGAACCATAAGCAGTTTCAGGGATTCACCTGACCAGCAGTTTGCAGGACCACGGCGTCCAAGTTAAGCTCCTACTGGATACTCTATGTACAGAGAACTGAGACCACGCCGCCTGCTAAAGTCTGCCTTAAATCAGTACGACTTGCAACACCAAGGTTGGAAAAAGACTGTTCTCTGCAGATGTCCTGTACTTTTATCTCCTCAGGTGTGCTTTGATCCAAACACGCAACAGAAAGAACTGATACTAGCTTGGCGAGCACCGCTGATTTCACCTGACAGCCTAGTGGTTAGCGTCATCCCATTTCCAGTCTCCAGTCTGCCTGAATCCACTTATACAATTGGGGGGGGTGGGGGGGGTGGTAAGCCTGAACGTTTCCCAGACAAAAAGAGAGCATTACAAAAGTACACTGTCATATCATGCTTGTTATGTTATCATGAAAAGGCTCTCACTTTGTATTTGGTAGAGAAAACATATGTGTGGTATGAGACAAGGTGTCCTCAATGTATGTTTGTTTTAAATTGGCTGAATTTTAGAAACTCATAACGGAAGCACACCATTGTCACTTAGCAACCTCCTTTCCCCTCTTCCCCTTATTCTTAATTTCCTGTAATTGGCACTAGTGAGAAGTGTCAGCATGAGACCTGGAAGCAGCTTGAGAGCAGTTGGCCAGGTGGACAGCAACAGGCCATTGTGACCAATGCACTTCAATTCTAATTTGGAAGATCTAACTGGTAGTCCCAAGAAGAATTCAGCTTCAATATCCCACGTAAACGTTAGCCCTCTCTGTGAGGGCCCAAACCTGCACCCACATCAACAAAATCGCAGGCAGCTTTTTACCTAGTTAGGCAGAGGTGTGGCATTGTCCACAGATAGCTGAGGTTGTTGACCACTAAAAAAAAGTGTGCGCGCGTGGTGGGGGGGGGTTGTGCATTAATTACTTCTAGAAAGGACAAGACTTTAGCAATACAACCATCAAATATTTTGAATAAGCCATACACCCGAAAAGAGTGATTACTTGGAAATGGAATCAGAAGCCTTTCATACCCCTATCACTGGTTTTAATCCATGCTAGACCAACTATCCATCAAGCCAGATTAGCGATTTGCACCCTCTTTTTATATATAGACCCCATACAAGAGTTCTGGTGTTCTGTGGACTGCCAAAGATCACTGTAATTATTCTTTTCTTCCTCACCAAAGAGGAGCGCATGTCAACTCAGTGGACAACTTTGTCTGGATGGTTCAAAACCAGGCTGTGCTCCTAGCAGAGGAGCAGGATCGAGCTGGGGCAGGGGGGCGGAGCTGTAAGTTACACGGAGGGAATTTATGCCTTAACGCCTGACTACAGGCTTAAAAGCGATCAATAAGGCACACTGCTGCCCCTCACCTTGAGGAGAACGAAGAACTCGAAGATACGGCGGAAGGACGGTGGGAACAGGCGGGCGTAGGTCACTGCCATCTTGAAGAAGAGGGCATGGAAGAGGCGATCGCGCACATTGATCAAGGGGTTCTGGTTGAGGTTGGGATTGCGGACCCCCCGGTTGTTCGCGCCGGCAGCCGCGCCGCCCCCGGTGTTGTTGGCATTGGCCTGGTTCTCGGACATCCTGACCGCTGGGGCAGGGAGCGAGCTGGCACTCTTCCCGAGCAGAGCTCCCGAGCGCCGGTCGCAGGGGCCGCTCCTCCTTCGCCGCCCCGGAGGGGCCCTGCTCGCCCGGGGGGAGGCCCAAGTGTTCTCCCGGGCAGGCGGCGCCCCCGCTGCCCGCACGGGTCGGTG